CCCGATAGGCCAGGGACCCCACCCCTACCCCGCCTGGCTAACAGCCATTGATAGACCCAACCACCATGAATCTATCGAGGTTTTTTGGAACCCTGTTAAACCCCTGGCCTTCACCCCATCCTCTGGCGAGGAGTTCCGCAGGTTGACTGCGCTGAGTGAAGAAAATCTTTCTTTTGTTTGTTTTAGACCATTTCTATGATTGGGGCTCTCAACCCCACTGATCCCCCCCTTCCCTGGACAGGGAATTCTAGCCCCCTAGGCCCCTGGTGGGGATCCCAGCTCCATAGAGCCCCCCCAACTCACCGGTAGGACAGGCGGTGGCTGTGGAACAGAGGGGAGACAGTTCAGGGGGATGTGGATTGGGGGGGCATGAGAAGCAAGGGGGTGAGAAATTGGGCAGGGAAAGGGGCTGACCAAGGGCTCTGGTGGATGGGCTGGGGGACAGCGGGAGCCCCAGGGGTGACCCCTCCCGTGGGCCTTGTGCCTGTGAACACAGCTGAGCCGAGCTGAGGTCCGTTCTCAGCCCGCCAGCTTCCCAGCCTGCTCACCGATGCTGGAGCCAGCGGGGGTCCGAGCAGCTCCTGCAGCCTGCTGGGAAAAGGAGAGACCGTGCGAGTCGGAGGGGTCCCCGAGCAGCCCCTGGGGTCCCTGCCCCCCAACACTCCTGGCTCCCATGCTCCCCACATCCCCCACGGCACGAGGGGCACGAGGACGACTCACCGGCCAGCTGGGGGTGCTGGAGAGAGGGTAGGGGATGGACTCCAGTGAGGAGGAGCGGCTGTGGGGGGAGAGACCAAGTTACAAGGGGCACAGCCCAGCCCCTGCTTAGGGGGTGCAGGGCTCATTCCAACCAGCAGGGGGCAGGTACACAAATGTGCAGCCATTCCCCACCAGCAGAGGGCATGTGTACACGTACATACACACACACACCTTCCCCACCAGCAGAGGGCATGTGTACACGTACATACACACACACCCCTTCCCCACCAGCAGAGGGCATGTGTACACGTACATACACACACACACCTTCCCCACCAGCAGAGGGCATGTGTACACGTACATACACACACACCCCCCTTCCCCACCAGCAGAGGGCATGTGTACACGTACATACACACACACACCTTCCCCACCAGCAGAGGGCATGTGTACACGTACATACACACACACCCCCCTTCCCCACCAGCAGAGGGCATGTGTACACGTACATACACACACACACCTTCCCCACCAGCAGAGGGCATGTGTACACGTACATACACACACACCCCCCTTCCCCACCAGCAGAGGGCGTGTGTACACGTACATACACACACACACCCCTTCCCCACCAGCAGAGGGCGTGTGTACACGTACATACACACACACACACCCCTTCCCCACCAGCAGAGGGCGTGTGTACACGTACATACACACACACACACCCCTTCCCCACCAGCAGAGGGCGTGTGTACACGTACATACACACACACACACCCCTTCCCCACCAGCAGAGGGCGTGTGTACACGTACATACACACACACACACCCCTTCCCCACCAGCAGAGGGCGTGTGTACACGTACATACACACACACACACCCCTTCCCCACCAGCAGAGGGCGTGTGTACACGTACATACACACACACACACCCCTTCCCCACCAGCAGAGGGCGTGTGTACACGTACATACACACACACACACCCCTTCCCCACCAGCAGAGGGCGTGTGTACACGTACATACACACACACACACCCCTTCCCCACCAGCAGAGGGCGTGTGTACACGTACATACACACACACACACCCCTTCCCCACCAGCAGAGGGCGTGTGTACACGTACATACACACACACACACCCCTTCCCCACCAGCAGAGGGCGTGTGTACACGTACATACACACACACACACCCCTTCCCCACCAGCAGAGGGCGTGTGTACACGTACATACACACACACACACCCCTTCCCCACCAGCAGAGGGCGTGTGTACACGTACATACACACACACACACCCCTTCCCCACCAGCAGAGGGCGTGTGTACACGTACATACACACACACACACCCCTTCCCCACCAGCAGAGGGCGTGTGTACACGTACATACACACACACACACCCCTTCCCCACCAGCAGAGGGCGTGTGTACACGTACATACACACACACACACCCCTTCCCCACCAGCAGAGGGCGTGTGTACACGTACATACACACACACACACCCCTTCCCCACCAGCAGAGGGCGTGTGTACACGTACATACACACACACACACCCCTTCCCCACCAGCAGAGGGCGTGTGTACACGTACATACACACACACACACCCCTTCCCCACCAGCAGAGGGCGTGTGTACACGTACATACACACACACACACCCCTTCCCCACCAGCAGAGGGCGTGTGTACACGTACATACACACACACACACCCCTTCCCCACCAGCAGAGGGCGTGTGTACACGTACATACACACACACACACCCCTTCCCCACCAGCAGAGGGCGTGTGTACACGTACATACACACACACACACCCCTTCCCCACCAGCAGAGGGCGTGTGTACACGTACATACACACACACACACCCCTTCCCCACCAGCAGAGGGCGTGTGTACACGTACATACACACACACACACCCCTTCCCCACCAGCAGAGGGCGTGTGTACACGTACATACACACACACACACCCCTTCCCCACCAGCAGAGGGCGTGTGTACACGTACATACACACACACACACCCCTTCCCCACCAGCAGAGGGCGTGTGTACACGTACATACACACACACACACCCCTTCCCCACCAGCAGAGGGCGTGTGTACACGTACATACACACACACACACCCCTTCCCCACCAGCAGAGGGCGTGTGTACACGTACATACACACACACACACCCCTTCCCCACCAGCAGAGGGCGTGTGTACACGTACATACACACACACACACCCCTTCCCCACCAGCAGAGGGCGTGTGTACACGTACATACACACACACACACCCCTTCCCCACCAGCAGAGGGCGTGTGTACACGTACATACACACACACACACCCCTTCCCCACCAGCAGAGGGCGTGTGTACACGTACATACACACACACACACCCCTTCCCCACCAGCAGAGGGCGTGTGTACACGTACATACACACACACACACCTTCCCCACCAGCAGAGGGCGTGTGTACACGTACATACACACACACACACCCCTTCCCCACCAGCAGAGGGCGTGTGTACACGTACATACACACACACACACCCCTTCCCCACCAGCAGAGGGCGTGTGTACACGTACATACACACACACCCGCAGCCATTCCCCACCAGCAGGGGACGTGTGTTCACGTACACACACCCGCAGCCATTCCCCACCAGTAGGGGACGTGTGTTCACGTACACACACCCGTTCCCCACCAGCAGGGGACGTGTTCACGTACACACACCCGTTCCCCACCAGCAGGGGACGTGTGCACACACACTGACCTCACCACCTGGCTGGACAGCTGAGTGCGGGGTCGTGGGGCACCTGTGGGGAGGGACGGGCATTAGCTCCTCTGCTGGGCAAGGATGGGGAATCCAGCCCCCGCTATGAACATGCCTTCCCCTCCCACCACTGCGAGCACCCGTGGCCTTGCACACCCACACCCCATGGGCACCCTGGCTCTCTGCCACCACCCAGTCGAGAGCTGGTCCACGAGGGGAGCCCGTTTAAAAACCAGCTCCCCCCGCGGACTGGCTGCCTGCCCCCGCGCTGCTCCCTCTGATAGAGATGCAGCAGTGCGGGGGGGCGGGCGAGAGCTGGTCCACGAGGGGAGCCCGTTTAAAAACCAGCTCCCCCCGCGGACTGGCTCCCTGCCCCCACGCTGCTCCCTCTGATAGAGATGCAGCAGTGCGGGGGGGCGGGCGAGAGCTGGTCCACGAGGGGAGCCCGTTTAAAAACCAGCTCCCCCCGCGGACTGGCTCCCTGCCCCCACGCTGCTCCCTCTGATAGAGATGCAGCAGTGCGGGGGGGCGGGCGAGAGCTGGTCCACGAGGGGAGCCCGTTTAAAACCCAGCTCCCCCCGCAGACTGGCTGGCTGCCCCCGCGCTGCTCCCTCTGATAGAGAGGCAGCAGTGCGGGGGGGGCAGGCGAGAGCTGGTCCACGAGGGGAGCCCGTTTAAAACCCAGCTCCCCCCGCAGACTGGCTGGCTGCCCCCGCGCTGCTCCCTCTGATAGAGAGGCAGCAGTGCGGGGGGGGCAGGCGAGAGCTGGTCCACGAGGGGAGCCCGTTTAAAACCCAGCTCCCCCCGCGGACTGGCTGCCTGCCCCTGCGCTGCTCCCTCTCATAGAGATGCAGCAGTGCGGGGGGCAGGGGGCTCCCCGGGAGTGGGGCCAGAGCCAGGCCAGACAGAGCCGC